TCGTGCGTGCCTGTCACTAATGACCAGTCGGCAGGTATTTAGCTTATTCGCCCACTAAATGTATGCAGTATAATTATGTTTCAAGTAATATAGACAAGCTATGTAGTAACTGAATAAAAGATAAATAAGGTGTGCCATAATGAGAACAAATAGTCATACAACAAATAATAATATCAAACCTAACCCTCTAACTCTTGTCAGCAGCTTGTATCAAGCTGCGGAAGGCCCATGTCTGAATTATTGGAAGATAAAACACATCAAGTCTTATTACATCAGAGCATGGAACCATAAAGTGGTTCGCTATCTTGAAAAAAAGTTAACAACTGATAAATTGTTATTGAGGTCAAAAAAAAGAACATGGAACCATAAAGAGCATTTACTCAGGCATGTTTGCTTGGATCTGGAGCATTGCGCGTAAGCTAATGATGGACAGAATTTTAGTAGTGAAAGAAACAAACCAGTGTCATCCATATCCTCAAATTCCATATGAATCAAAAAGTGATAACCATCCTCGAGAACAAGCCATATATTTAGTATCGATCAGTGAGCAGCATCATAGAACTGTTATTTATTTGGTTTTTGGCAGAGAGCAGCAATATATATATAAGGGGGTCAACGCCTTCTTGCGAACTCACAGATATGCATGCTCATGTTCCTGCCTGCAAGTAACAAAAGACTAAGCACTTAGCTTTAGAATTCAATGTAAAAAATGTCAATAAAGAACATGTAAAGGGGATAAGTACACCATTGATATGCACCACTTATTTGAATTTACTTGTAGACTCTCTGATTTTCTTCCTTTTCATCAAAAGTTAACTTGTAGATATCTGAATATTTCGAGGGACAAGTATCCTTCTTTAGCTATTCTGCTTGTAACTGGAAATCTAAACCAATTTTACAAGTTTCGGCACAAGTACGCAGTGCACTGCATCTGAAGATCACTTGCTGAATTCAACTCTTTTAGACAGTGTTTGGGGTTCAGACTACTTTTTTTTATTATATTATGTCGCATAAATTTTGTTATATGTCAAAACATTAAATTATTTGTTAACCATTCACGTAGCAACACACGGAGTATCATCTAGTTTACACTATTTGTGCATCCCAATCTTAATCAAGTTGGAGCTGCCTCCAGACAGGACAAGCAGAGCTTAGCGCCTTAATGCAGCAATCAAGGAGGAATCTTATTTACCAAGTTTTCTAACACAGATGACATATTTTATGCGAGTATCTAGGCCTCAACAGCCGGCCCTTGGCAGACTCATATGGAGAATGGTATATATCATATGATCGACACTAGTTGACCTTGAGATTGCTTAGTGCAGGACGCAACGTTAGTTGCTTCTTTGCTTGTGCCAACAATAATTGGTCTAAAAAACTAGGGTGCCTGGCCTCACAATGATTTCACCGTCTGATCTTGTCCTGTTTGGTCACTATACTTTAGTTTACTGATTTTATCTATCTATCAAACCATGCCGGCTGACAGCGCAAGTTTTCATCCCGTCTCTGACCACCCTACAGGGCTCTTTCCATTTCCAGGCTGACAAGCAAGAAATCCTCCTTGATCACCTCCGGAACGCTTTTGGCTCGCACAGACCGGCCTCTTGCACCTTCGACTGGTCATCTATGGGTATCCCAAGTTCTAATCTCTCTAGCCTGGACATGCCATTCACCGAGGATGAGCTGAAAGTTGCTGTTTCTAACCTACCAGGAGGCAACGCCCCGGTCCCGACGGATTCAATGTTGATTTCTTCAAGAACTGCTAGGACATTGTCAAAGGAGATCTCATGAAGCCTTGCCTCCAGACAGGACAACACTACCAGAAAATCGCTACTTGCCGACAGCCACCCTCAGCATTGATGGAGGTAAGCCGTTGGCAAATATGCCATCGGTTTACCTCAATCTATGCCGACGGTGGCCGTCGGCATAGCTTTGGCCGTCGGCAACTGGCTCCCTGGCCGTCGATATAGCTTTAGCCGTCGGCATACAGTTCCACGTGGCCCTTGGACTATCGGTCGGCTAACACCATTGAGCTATGACGATGGCCCTACCGTCGGCAATATTATTTTATTATTATTTTGATTTCATGTTTTTAAGATTTCCAATTTGAGTTATGTAAATTTAAATATATATAAATTATATATCAATTTGGGGTAGAATTTTCCATAGATTATGAATATCCACTTTGTTTCAATTTTTAATACGATACAAATGCGACATAATGTACTTTTGTAAATAACTCGATATAGGTTGTTAAAATCAAAAGTAATTCATACTTGCATGGATTTTGACAAATTTACATTGACTAAAATAATAGACCAAACGGTTAGTGCTTACGCCGAAACGAGCATACCGAGAGGCAATCTTGGACATGACCGATGATAGCCCAGGATGGAATCTTGCAAAACTCTTGTTGGATTTATGATGAAATGACTACTTGTGTACCTAGAAATGGTTTTTAGAAAAAATAAATAGCAAACTATCAAGCACATATAGTTCAAATTAACCCCGTTCCAACTGAATCGATGGAAATTTGTCTTTTTGAGGAGAGGTGTATAAAAATGATTGGACATATAAATATTTAGTCAATTGTTAATAAAGTATGGTTTAGAATTTTACAAAAATGGGGTGATTCAAATTTACACCAAATAGTTGGTAGCTTCTTCACAAAAAAAACTACTTTCGACACTCAGAAACTGAAAAATAGATTTTACGTGCAACGGAAATGAAAACTTTCTTCGGAAAACTTGTTGACCATTCCAATATGCACACTTTTGCAAAAGATGAGATCATTTGGGGAAACTATCCTTACTAGCAATAACATCGGTCATTTGGTTTGAAAGTCATGAATCTTCATCTCGATAGCTCATTTTGAAAAGACTTTTTTAAGATATTTACCTTATTCTCACTTTTTTTATTTTATATGGTTACTAGGACATAAATGATTATGCAACGCAGAGGTTTTACATTTTTTTTTATTTTTTTGAATTGCTTATATCAATTTCAAAATGCGGTCAAAATGGGGGGCATGGTTGGTGATAGCTAGAGGTGGAATCCTATAAAACTCTTGGTGGATCTATGATGAAATGACTACTTTTGTACCTTGAACTGATTTTAAGAAAAAATAAAAAGCAAACTATCAAGCACATGTAGTTCTAATTTGAGCCCGTTCCTATTAAACCAGTGAAAATTTCTCTTTTTGAGGAGAGGTGTATAAAAATCATTTGTCATGCAAACATTTTGTCAATTGTTCATAAAATATGATCTATTAATTTGGAAAATGGTATGGTTCAAATTCATATCAATTTGTTGGCCATTCCAATATGCACACTTCTGCAAAATATGAGATCATTTGGGAAAACTATCCTTTGAAACTAGCAATAACATCGGTCATTTGGCTTGAAAGCCCTGAATCTTAATACTCGATAGCTCATTTTGTGAGGACTTTTTAAAGATATTTTCCTTATTCAAAGTTTTTTATTTTATATGGTTACTAGGACATAAATGATGATCAACGCGAAGGTTTTACATTTTATTATTATTATTTGAATTATTTATATCGATTCAAAATGCAATAAAAATGGGGGGCATGGTTGGTGATAGCTAGGGGTGGAATCTTGCAAAACTCTTGGTGGATCTATGATGAAATGACTACTTGTGTACCTAGAAATGAGGTTTAGAAAAAATAAAAAAAATATCAAGCATATGTAGTTCAAATTTGACCTCGCTCCTACTGAATCGATGGAAATTTCTCTTTTTGAGGAGAGCTGTATAAAAATCATTTGACATGCAAACATTTGCTCAATTGTTCATAAAATATGATCTAGTAATTTTGAAAAATGGTATTGTTCGAATTCATATCAAATTTTTGATAGGCCCTTCACAAAATAGCCCTACTTATGGCACTCGGAAAATAAAAAAATGATTTTTTTTGTGCCAAAAAAAGTGAAAAATTCCTTCGGCAAACTTTTTGGCCACTGCAATATGTACACATTTGCAAAAAAATTGTACAAAAAAATCGGTTTCCTTTGTCTAAGTGTCAATTTTTTTTCATTTCAAAAAATTGGAATGTATTAAGAAAACTGTGGTATTTCTAGTTTACATTATTTTTGTGACAACTATTACTCATATAATGCCTCTGTGTAAAAGGATTTGATTTTTTGATATTTTTTTCATTCTCTTTGTTTATTTTTAAAGTGCCTAAAGAAGCACACAATTGACAACCTTCTCATCGGTGGAAATTTGTGCGTTGGATCGATGACATGGCGCAGATCCATCCATCCACATCTATCTCTCCCCCCACATCCATCCATCCACATGGCGCAAGTTTTCTGACATGGATGACATATTGTATGCAAGTCCCTAGGCATCATTAGCCGGCTCTTGGCAGACCCATATGGATAACGTATATCATATGCTAGACACTAGTTGACCTTGAGATCGCTTAGTGCATCTTAGTTGCTTCTTTTCTTGTGCCAACAATTATTGATCGAAAAACTGTGTTGTAAACATGGTAACATGGGGTGTGACATGGTGTTTGGTGAATTTCTCCTTTAACTGATGCAAGAGTGCCCAGCCTCACAATGATTTCACCCTTTGATCTGTCCTGTTTGGTCACTCTACATCAGTTTACTGATTTTATTTATATATCGGACTAGCCCATGGCCATTTGATTGCAAGCACCCACATCTTTCAATCCGCTAGAAAAATTTGATCGCGTGAGACAATTTGCTTGTAGGATGTTGAATTAATTGTGATGAATTTCTTTGCTAACAACTTTTCCCCCAAATCACTACTGAAAAAGCTCGTACACCAAGTACTTTGATATATTGAAAGGAACATCTTTTCTTGAAACCTTATACGAATAAAGAAAAAGAAACATTTGCAACTAAAGTTAGCAGAAAAAGTACCGGTGCATGCCTTGACTTTGTGTGGGGCCACTTGCTCAGAGGTACATCAAGGGCTATATATACCCCCGACAGTCGGGAGTCATAACAGCCATGGATCATCTCCTCTTTTTCTCATTCAAATCAGTCATGAATTCAAAATCCGCTTTCCTTCTGATCGTGGTGGCAGTTAGCACCACGGCCATGGTGCACGGCCACCCTGCCGCTAGCACTCCAGCGGCACGGTTCTGGGAGCAGGCCCTCTCCGGCACGCCGATGCCGGAGGTGCTAGCTGATTTTGTTCAGAAAGGTAATCTTTGCTTACATGTTTAATTATATGTTTGGTATATAAATACCAAAAAGGTTTTCCTTATGTATAATTACTAGCAAAAATACACGTATGTTGTGACAGAATTTAAATCCTGGGACGTCTGTTCTAATATTAGGCTGCTCGGCTGTGATGGCTTAACTTATCTGCAGCTGCAGTAGCCAGGTAGCAGCAGCTACAGTACACATTCAGTTCAATAATCCACAGCCCAATAAGCCTATTCAGTTCAAACGATCTACCAAGCCATGATGTTCTGAGATGAGATTTCGTACTGTGATTGAGCATATAACCATCTAATTTTTTTTTCCTAAGAACACTCCAAAAATTCAGTTTTAGCACAAGCTAAAAAAACCCAACAGGTCCGATCAACAAACTTCCTCCTTATATTTCTGCGCTTTTGCACTCGTCGTTCATTGATGGGTCACTTGCGGCGGTGCGGGGATAGAGGTTCAGGTACCTCTTTGTCCGCCATGGACGACAGAGTGCCGTGCATGACTTCCTGCTGCGCGCTCGATCTAGCAGCGCGACTGGGAGAAGAGGCTGTGCTGTACGCGCGCTACTTCAGACATCATCAGAGTTACAATATGACTTGCTCCTTGCTGCAAAGCTGCCGCTCTTAATTTTTTAAAGCTCGTGGTGCAAATTTTGGTTTTCGTACAACTAATCTTGGAAATATTGGATGATGGGTGGTGTTCTGCATGCTCCCAATTTTAATTTTTTTTGGCAAGCTTCAGAAGCAGTTTCCTAGCACTCATTTTTCAAGTTCGGTTGGAAATGATCTAACTCGTGTGAGCATCGATCGTGAGTAACGGGACAATAAATAAGTTAGAACTGTAATCTCTAATTTATCATGTACTTCTTCCTCTATTCCAAACTGTAAGCAAGAATCTTAGAGAGTCAAAGAATTTTAAGTTTGACAAAAATTATAAAGAAATCTACAAATATTTGTGACATCAAATTGGTATATTATGAAAATATAATTAATGAAGAATCTAATAATACTTAGTTGACATCATGAATGTTATTATCTTGTCATATAAATTTGGTCAAACTTGAGAAGCTTTGACTCTTCAAGATTCTTGGAATGACTTACAATTACTACTCTTAGTAAACTGACTAGAACCCTTATACGCTTAATTAGAACTGTAAAATTCAATTCATCATGTACTACTACTCTTAGTAAAATCGGCTAGAACTTCTATACTATGGAGAGTGAAGGGACACATAGGAAGAGAGTCTAATGGACCAAAATTCAGAGGAATAAATGTTCACCCTTTTATATAAGGGAACGTATCTGGTGCAAACCAACCTCTCCGTGCAACCGTGCAAACTTCTAATCGGAGCTACAGGATGTTGATCCAAGGGGGCGCATGGGGGAATGGGAGGGCGGATTCGCAAAAGCATGATTAGGGGCGGGCCGTTAAGTGTAAAATTACCTAATCCCCACGCCCCCTTGGATCAACATCCTATGGCCCAGATTAGAAGTTTGGACGGTTGCACGGAAAGGTTAGTTTTGTTGATTTAATATTATGTATGTATATATAGAGTATGCATGGATATAAACATTGACTTTGTGTTCTCGTGCAGGAATGGATCTGTCACCGCTCGTGGAGCACTACTCTGCACAGCCTAGTATCGGCATGTGCACACTCTTCAACACTATCTGCGACGCGCGCACGGTGGCGGAGACCGGCATCTTCTTCCACGAGGCCGAGCTACATCCGGGCAGCACCATGACCCTGTATTTCCCAGCGGAGGCGGAGACAGCCATCCTCCCGCACGACATCGCCGGCAAGGTCCCCTTCGAGAACCTAAGCGACGTCCTCTCCACGTTCCACATCTCACCAGGCTCCGCTGAGGCTGCGCAAGTGGAGGACACCCTGCGCAAGTGTCAGCAGCCGCCAATCGCCGGTGAGATAAAAGCCTGCACCATGTCGCTAGAGAGCACTGTAAAGGCCGCCATGGAGATGCTCGGCACCACCATCCAGCAGGGTGGTGGTGGTGGTGACGTGTGGGCGGCCACGTCGACGCTCCCCCGCGGTGGCCTGCTACCACACCGGGAGTACATTGTCCAGGAGGTCACCAAGCTAGAGGGCACTGGCTACGTGGCCTGCCACAAGGTGCCGTTCCCATACGCCGTCTTCCATTGTCACATCGCACATACGGGGTATATAGGTTACAAGGTCACCCTCCACGGCCGCGGCGACAACGAGGGCCCTGTGGTTTCCTTGCTGGCGTTCTGCCATTTCGACACCTCCCACTGGAATCCGGCACACCCGGCGTTCCAGATACTGAAGACCCACCCTGGTGCCAGTACGTCGGTGTGCCACTTCATGTCGTATGGCAATCTCGCGTTCATCAAGAAGGCACGCACAGCCTAGCTTGCTACTGCATCCTTCGTTGCGCGCTACATACGCCAGTGTCGTGCTCTGGACATCAACGTGGCGCTCTTTTTTCATATATGCACCGTAAATGTGTAAATGTGGGCATTCATCCGTTCTAGCTAGGACGGCGTCTTCTATATATAGAATAAGAATAAGAATGGCACCATATATAGTTCTAGCTTTGGCATCAGACGAAAATATAAGGGTGTAGCAATGGTACGGTGTGTGTCCAGGTTTGTTTGGATGGATGTTATATGTAAGTACATGTCGCTAGTGTTGGTGAGTGGGGGCTCCGATCCTACATATTGCTAGCTAGTGCTGGTACATGTCATTGTTACTACTGTATGAAACTTGTGTGGTTGGTCCTGTGTGGCCTAGCTAGCGTCGGACATACTGTATTATCGTGTTATGTGTATGAATAAATATGTTTATGTATATATTAGCACAAATGCCCGTGCGTTGCAACGGGAGAAAACAACAATTACTACGAACCATGGTTGGTCGGATCGAGGAACTATACCACGGGACAACAATTGTTGGTGACAATAAAAGATGCATCATTTGAGGATAACTGAGGGGTAAAGTTAAAAACATGATTAAGGCCAGTCCCGGCCCGTAAACCACCATTCAGGGGTAACGTGAAAAAATGGACCACTGTGCCATGGAACTTTGGCTAATACTAATCTCAGTAAACCACCACTTAGGGGTAAAGTAAAAATAGGAAAACCATAGAAAAACATGCATACCAGAAGCATCTTCGATAATGCATATGTTCCGAGCATTTCCCTTCAATTCCATCCACAAAACGAGAAACACTTTCTCCATTCTCAAATGACTCAGTAAGGATTGTTGGATGCAAAGTAGTATCACTTAAACGATGAGACATATTTGAATTTTGTTCAGGATGAATCCAAAAAGGTGGAGGTAAAAAACACATAGAGGCATATATGACCAACTATCGATAGCAGAACTTTTAAAATGCACCATGGCATAGTATGTGTTACTTTCGGACATTAGAATAAGGTTTGTCAGTGTAGCATTACATGTAGTCAAGTACAAGACTTTACAGTAAAACTCTGCAAGTTTTTATTTTCTTTTAGCAGAAATAAACACAAATTCTGGTTTCATAGGATAGCAGTAGTCAACTCTGTAATTTGAAGCGGTATAAAGCTGGAACTAATTCATTGTGCAACAATATATTCCCCTAATTAAATGGCATGGCCAACACATTTCTGTAGGAGATAGAGCTAATAATGTGAATGGAATTAGAGCACCACAAGTCAATTAATGATTACAGAACGGGATTTCCACTTGAGTTTTTTTTTTGCATGGGTTCCCACTTGAGGATTGCAAATGGGATGATTACCCTCAGGTTTATGCATAGCATATGGACGAATCAGGGAGTAAAGCAGCCTGCCCAAGATAGTCTCCCAAATCTTGCCTTTTTTCAGTGACATAAAAATTCACCCAAATCTGAAACAGTTAGCACAATCCCTTTTGGCTGATATGGCCAGGAGCAGTAATAATTCCCGCCAGCATTGCGCCCTACAGATTGAACTTCGTCAAAGTATTATTAGGCTGATCTGAACCCAAGTCGGCAAGCATTTGAAGAAATAAGCCATGTGGCCCCTGGGAATTTCCATCGCAATGGACTCTATTTCCTTCTTTATTTCTTTTCTTGTTACCTGAAACACAAGATATACAGAAGGTTAATTAGTCTAGCTGTCCTTCCTCTTTTCCCTACCACAATGATCTCTCAGACACGGCTTCCTAATACCCAAAAAACTAAAAAAAAGTATATAAATTGGATAGATTGAATGTGAGGGAGGGAGGTGGGACTATTTAAGGAGAGAATTAACCTATGTTAGTACGGATAGTAGAAGGTAGCTCAGTTGGCCTTTGGTTTTGAGTTCGACTCCTGTCATCAGCATTTATTTTTGCCTCAAACAGGATAGGTGGGCTGGACTTAACTTATTGGGCCACAGAGCACGGGCGGCATATTATGTGCCAAAGGTTTATTGGGCCACCTCGCACACAGTATCAATTAGTACCACCTCCCTATCAAAAAAATCATCTACGGCGCGTCAAAAAAAATCCATATATATATATACACACACACACACACACACACACGAGCAAAAGTGCCCGTGCGTTGCAACGGGAGAAAAAAAAACACGTCCTAACCCAATAAATTAAATATGTGATGTTGTAATAATTTATATACCACAAAAGGTGTAATCAAAAGGATAATTCTAAGTCGGACATGAAACACATTTTTTGAGTTTCCCGTGTGTGCCCTAACCTGTGTGTATATATATTAGTACAACATCGCCTAATCCTTATCCAGCAATGGACCGTGTTCGTGTCCTTTTCAGTTTTCACGTCCTAAATGCAAGTGCTCCTCCCTCCCAGTTGGCGTGTGGGGCGAAATAGGACGCGAGCAAGATGCACCGTTGTCGCACTCTCTCTACTATTCACCCCTCATCTCTCTTGCCTATCTCACCAATGACATCGATGACATTCAAACTTGAGGAATATCTTGATGATCAACAAGTAACAATGAGCACCTAATATCTTCTACCTTAAGAATTATTTCTTTCCAATAATCACTCACTTTTAGTTAGTCTATCTGATAATGTATTCCTAAGTGCTCTATAGATCTCCCAATAAAACCTTTATGGAAGCTACAATTAGTTTTGTTCATTATTTATGGATGTGTTTTAATTTTTGTGAACATTTTCTAAAAGCTGATGGACATGTTTTTTAAATTCCTGAATATGCTTTGAATATTGGGTCATTTTAAAAAATTGTGAACATTTTTTATTTCATGAAAATTCATTTGAAATCGTGATTTATTTATAATATGTGAGCAATTTTTAAGTTATGAACATTTTGTGATTTTTCGAACATTTTTTAAATTCACAAACAGTTTACCATTTTCCTACTTTTTTTCAAAACTCGCAACTGTTTGATATTTTGGAAATCCGAAATTAATTTTGATATAAAAAACCAAAACATAAAAAAAGTAAAAAGAAAAAAATAGGGAGCGCCATGAATCCAAAATTAATTTTTAGAGAAAAAACCTAAACAGAAATAAAAAAAGAAATACAAAACAGGGGCGCCACGATCCACACATGGGCTGGCCCATTACTGCGCTTAAGATAGGTAAAAAGAAAGAGAAAAAGCGTCCAAAACCAAGGATCGAACACTGGTCTCTTGTGAGGAGCATCCTAGCCTCAGCCATCGCCCCCACTCATCCATCACTGTTCATATACCGTATCAATTTTTAATAACAGAACCCGGGAGCGATATTTGAAATTAAAAACGAATCGTTTTTGTCTCTTACGGGTGGCATTGGTAGGTAATTATTGCCAACTTCGAGGGTAGTTTTTATGACGTACGGGCAGAATTCCAATTCTCTTTATTATTAGGTATATATATATGTGTGTGTGTGTAGTAACATTATTCATCACCCAGGATGCAGAATAGTTATTCCTCACCCGAGGTAATCTTACGATCATTTAATAAATAAATTATGTTTCAAATACAAATAGTTATAGTCGTATTGATTCACTGTATAAAATTTGGCATAAAAAAGGTTAGAAGACCAGAAAAATTACATTTTATGTATATTTTACACTATGTTTTTACATTTGTAATTTACGTAACATAATATTTTGTTTACGGTGATTATATATTTTCTTACGTTGCCTTTTTACTTCTGAATTAAGACAAAATTTACGGAACATAAAATTACGATGCATTGATGTTAAAATAGAGGGGGGTGAAGAATAACTATTCCTCACCCAGGGCCGCGCTCGTCACTCTGGGTGAGGAATAGTTATTCTTCACCCCCTCTCTATTTTGACGTCCATGTACCGTATTTTTAGGTTTCATAAATTTTGTCTTATTTCATACGTAAAAAGAGAACGTAAGAAAATATATACTCGCTGTAAAAATATTTTATGTTTACATAAGATTATGAACGTAAAAACATAGTGTAAAACATACAGAAAATGTGATATTTTACGTAGTGAATCAATATGAATGTAATTATTTGTATTTCAAACGTAATTTATTTATGAAGCAAACGTAAGATTACCTCGGATGAATAATAACTTATTCTTCATCCTAGGTGATGAGAATATATATTCTACAATGGATTCACTCCTATAAGGCAACTTCCAAGAAAAATAAAACTGAACATGAAAAAAATTACCCACCCCACGTCCCACTCCCATCCCAGCTCTCTCTCTCCTTCCCGATCACTACTTCCCCGCAACCGACCTCCACGGCCTTCTCCCATGGTTTAAAATTTCGATATAAATTTCCGAAATTTTGACAATCTCGAAGGTGACCAAAATTTTGCACTTCGTTAAAAAAAACTCAGCACATTTGAATTTCTACAAAAAATGTTGGGCAGAAGTATGCAATACCAAGATTCGAACTTGGGTTACCTGCTAGCGTGTAAACTAGTTAACCATCACACAATAAGTACTTTTATGTTCAATCAGCGCTACATTACTTTATTATCTAGCTCTTTAAATTTTCAAATATTCAAATTCACACAAAAAATCGGTGATTTGTTCAAAATGATTTTCGAAATTGTCAAAATTTCCTAAATCTCGACATTTCGAGGGTAAGCGAAATTTATGCAATCACGAAATTCGGAACCTTGCCTCCTCCCAGGGCCGCCGCCCTCCACGGGCCTCCTCCCGCGCCAGGGGCTGGCCCCCACGGCCTGCTCCTCCCCGCGTCGCCCCCCTCAACGGCCCCTCCACGGCTTCCTCCCCGCGCCAGTTGCCGGCCGCCACGGCTTCTCCTCCCCATGCCGCCCCTCCATGGCCTCCTCCTCTCCATGTTGCTCCCCACCACGGCCTCCTGCTCTCCATGCCGCTCCCCTCCATGGCCTCCTCCCCGCGCT